TCGTGACAGTTCCTGTATAAACTTAGGCTTTGCTTTAGGCATGTCAGATACTTTATTGATTTATCTATTTCAGTATTTTGGTAGACCAATGTCTTAATCTCCAAGTGCTTATCATCAAAACTCAGAAAGAAATTATGCAGAAGACTTTCCATATGTGTAGTTAGGTAGTCATTAATTCACACATAGAAATAAAAATGTCAAAAAAACAGAATTCTATTCAGCTCCCTTTGGAACTGATTTTTTTCATCCCAAATTAAGTAACCAAATACAGTAGTTTTTCCTCAGTTTTCAATAGATTTAATTTAACCTAGTAAAGATGGAAAGATTAACTTAAAATAAGGTATGTTTGTCTTTCAACTGCTCAGCCATTGGACAGAGCAGTGTAATTAGAAACCAGAATTTGTCACTCCTGCAAATGCAGGATCAGAGACTCAGCATGAATTTTCAGCCCATCTGGTTTCTAATAGTAGAATCATTTTTGGTATTGAGCAATGACCTTACAGGTTGTCGTGAACTTCTGCTTCTCCAGCTGTACACTGGAGAAAAATAGGTTCTGACTAATGGATCTAAGTATTGTTGAGATAAAAATCCCAGCACAGACAAAAAGCTATTTCCATATAAATATGTATATTTACACAGAAGAATTGTACATTCATGGAAGACTGTTTTCCATTCAGCAGAGGAAACTGAAGACTGGTGGCCATTTTGCCTTTCACTGTAGTTCTCAATTCCATAACGTTAATGTAATATGAGACTACTTATGCAAATCTTCTGTAGAAGAAAAATTATTAAAGGTTAAGTGCTTGTGACTTCTTTTTATGATATAACTCCTGTCATTAATTTTCCTTGCCTGGCTGGGAAGGATAGTTAGATTGCTGTCCTGACCACTGGAATATTTCTGATGCTCTTTCACAACCCAAATAATATCCCATTCAAAGCAATGACTTAAACAGAATATTTTTCCACTGGCTTATTGGGCAATAACTTGGGAATAGGTTAATGCAGTGGGTTTCAGGACACAAAATTATCCCTGATAATTAATTAAATAATGTAATACGGTTGTTGATATGTTTCCAGACACTAGTAAGAAGCCTGTTCTTCTACTGAATTTTTTCTGCAAATCAGAGTATTTTGAAAACCAACAATTAAATTATAACTGTGGAGTACAATATAGTAATAGAAGCTTTCTGATTATTTATAAATGTTCAGTAATCCAACTTGCACTACTTTCAATTCTGAAGTAAGACAAGTAGGTTTAGCCTTAAGAGTATTTTTTCCCAGATACGTTTCTTTTCCTAGTAGTATTAAAAATATTATAAAAATTATATTTTGAAGATAAAAACATACTGAGTAATACATTGTAAGCTCTGCATGTACAGACCAGGAAAGTGGTAATGTTATTTATTTGGGTTAACTGCAATATTTTAGTTACTGATAGTAGTTAATATTTGATTATTTAAATAATTAACTCTTTCAGAATAGATAAAATTTGTCAATTAAATTTTCAGGGAAGAATATAAAAATAAACAAATAAAAATAAAAGCAGAGCAAGTGTTCTTTTCTTAGCTTCAGATTAATTGTAAGTAAGAGCTACTGGGCATTTTGGGAAGGAAACCACTCCAGTCCAGGAATGGATTTGCCCTTTTCATATGGCTTCTTTAATATATAAATATTTTGAATGATGAAACTGAAAGGCTGACATAACTTCACTTTTGAGACACCTTTTCAGATTCAGCTGAAACCAATTTCATTACCTGCAGTCAGGCTGATACTCACTGGATTTTCCTGCCATAGCATATTGCAGACCTGCATAGCCAGAGAGGCTAATCTCTTTAATTCAACTTAAAGTTATTTTGTCAAGAGGAGGTTCTCCTGACCTCAGTATTAGTCAAAAGTTCATTTGTCACACACCTGACACACACTTTTTCATATCTTCTTGTCTTTCTTTGACACCCATCTCAAGAATTACTGTTATCAATACTTTGTGGTTGAAAACTAATCAATATTTCTTTTCTCAAAAAGGCAAATTAGAATATTTTCCGCTTCAATTAGTATGTACATCTGCAGAGACACTCAGGTGGTCTTTTCCACTGATCTTCCAGTAGCAAGGTAAGATAATTTCAGGCATGCTTTGATTTTAATGTCACAATAAAAATACAGTGAAAGTAGCTGTTTGCTGATAATTGGAAACATCTGTATTTAAGTTAAAATACCAAATGGAAAAGAAAATTTCCGGAAATAATTTCTCTTGGTACATTTTTGGAAATTGGTCATTTTAAAAGGAAATTAATATTGCTAATATTGCAATATGTTTTACAAAATTGCCATTTTTCTTCCTCTATTTAATATTCATTATTGCTCAATTAGTCCTAGTAATATAAAACATTAAGGAGAAATTGATAAACATTTGGAATCAGTCTAGATACCAAACAAAGTGTCCCAGAGTGAATACTGTTTCAGCTTACATGTCCTGATACTCGCACTAAGTGTGGGAGAGGGCACATTCAAATGCAGCTCATTATGTATTACAGAAGAATTACTGAGGAACACTGTGAATTGAATGCAATCCAATGCAGAAAATAAATCAAAACCATAAAAAGAAAAAGACAAGTTTATAAACATAAAGAATGAGAGAAAAAGGGAATATGAAATTGAATGCAGTCCTTCTGTTGGAGCATCTTTGAACCAGAATATTGTTTATTGCACATTTATTTAAAAAATCTAATTTTTGTAGTAATAGCACGTACTCTGTCACAATGAAAGTCCAAGTCTGATTTTTCACACATGATGCTGGGATTTCTACATGGGCAGCTGTGTTGGTTATCACAAGAGAAATCCAGGAAACAAAGTTATCAGGTTATCCTCAAAGGAAACTAGAAACAGTGCTAGTAATGACTTCAGGAACAGCAGTATCAGTTTATATACAGTCTGCTATTTTTATTGGTACTACAGAGACTGCAATGCTGGTGTAATATAATCATGACCACTTGGCCAGAAGGAGCCTCTGAACTCAAATCAACTTCCAAAGAGCTCTGCTCTGCACTGTGAGAAAGTGATATTACTCAGCCTGAGGTCCATCAGCACTTGTGAGTCTGCTGGAGTAAACAATAGTGCAGCACAGTGCAGAAATATGCTTTCATCTGACTGATGTGAGATACGTGGAAAACTGTATTTCCGAAGACCTTCACTCACTTGCAAAGGGACTCCTTAGTGCAGGCAACTTCCAGAGAAAAGTAAAAGTGATATTCAGTACTGAAATAGACTTTCTGGATTATCAAATTCAGTGCTTTGCCTTTGCAGACAACCATTTCACATAATCCCTTCCATCAAGTTACAACTAAAAGGTATTTAAAAGGTTTTCTATATATACTTCAACTAGAATGTAATTTAAGAATCTTGCTGCTCTAATGGTTTGAAATCTTCCAGCCTAAGTGTATCCACAGCTCATTTATACTGATTCATTCTCCTCTCTCACCAGGAATAAAGATAAATAGCTGTACATCACAATCATTCCTTCGGGTCCACGGGACCATTGATTTGCAGCTGTGTGGTTGAACTTGTTCCATGTTTGTACGCTTCTTCATGCAAGAGCCTCAGATATGCTGTGTGTGGTGTGCGAGAGTGCATGAAGCCTGGAGGAATATCACATTTCATAGCTCCAGAACAATGGCACAAAACCCATTCTGCATGAATTGGGCACTACTGCATTTAGTAAGGACAGACGGGCCCCAGAGAGCAGCTCCTGAGCATAACTGAAGTCCATTAGTCAGAAAAGTAAAAAAGGGAATGGGAGGGAGGCAAGCCAAGATAGCCCTCTAAAAGCCAGAATTGAATATGTTGAGACCTGCAAACATTCTAGATAATGGTAAACTGTAGAGGTTGGCAAAGGTACAACAGCAGTCAGTTTCATCAGCCTCGTTTGCCTCAAGAGGAGTGGGGGGGTACACAGCTGTACACAGCTGTACACAGCTTACACAGCTGTATGTGTGTGCATTTATAAACAGGCATATATGAGTTCACTCACTAGGTGCTCATGAGAACAGGGCATTCTGAAAATTCTTCAAAATTAAAATGCATCCAATTTTGTTGCTCCATACTGTGATCACCCTTCTGTGTCTGAGTGGTGCAGCATACAAAGCATCCCACATTTCATGGGGAAGATAGAAAGGGATAAAGTGTTATCAAATCTGAACTCAGCAGCTCTCAGGCACTTAAGAATGGTCTTTCACGATATATTTTCTTTCATTCAGTTGGGAGAAGGGCAATCTACTGAAAAAAAATCCTGCCTGTCAGTGGGATGCTGCAAAGTTGTATCTGTCTTGGAGAAAGAAACACCTTATGTTATTTTATTCAGCCTCCACATTTTTATATTCTTCTATCAGTCAAGTTAAAATGTAGCTTTCATGAAAAAGAAATAAAAAATTAATCTCTCCTTAAGCCACTGCAGTGGCACTCCTATAAACTAGGGCAAAATTCAGCACATCGAGTTTTAATGAAAGGCAGCTTGAAAAAAAGGTCATTACTAGCATCCCAGCACACAGGAAAATGATAGTTAACTGGCCAGCGTGTCTATGACCAGCATCTGACTTTCTTGCTAGCCCCAGTTTACAGCATGCCGTGTTCTCTACTTAAGATATTAGCTTAGAGCATATCTTGCAGTTGTAACTCAGGCAAAACTCCACCGACTTCAGAGGAAATTCTGCCCGAGTGAGCATTGTGGATTTTGGCTGAAGAAAAGGAAGACCTCGAAATTCAACGCAAAGCTATGCCTATTGTGCAAGGTAGTGTAGAAAAACAATGGAAAGAAATTTACCTGTGCAGGAACAGAAAGCTTCAAAGGCTCTTCAGTCTCTGCCTGTCGCTGCACCAGCTCTTCTCCCCCTCTGCCCTGGGCTCCCTCCACCAGAAAGGAGCCCCTGTCTCAGCCTGGGGTCTGCGGCTCGGCTGCCTGCAGCCCCCCTGGGCTCCCCGTCCGCTGCCCTCCCGCTGCTCCCCGGTACCTGGCTCGAGGATAATGCTCTTGCTGGCTGGATCGCAGCCTCCCTCTTTCAGCTTTCACGGGCGCACTGAGCCTCTGCTAGCGCTGCTGCCTAAATGGCGACTGCAAAGCTCATCTAGGCTTTTAACTGCCACCTACTGAATACTTGTGGAATATATATATGTATAGGCACATATACACATAAACTGTAATATTCTGGTTCTCTCAACCAACGTAGAAGGTTTTTACAATTAGTCTCTAAAGCCTCCAAACACCCTGTAGTTAATAATTTAAAGCTGTAGATTACATTAATCTGAGCTTACATTTCTCCATTTCTTTCAGCTCTGAAACAGAGAACAAGCCTGTCTCTTTAAGTTAAAAAAGCATACAAAGCCTTTGGTGAGGCTAATCCCCAGGGCAAAAAAAAAAAAGCATAGCCCTATTCAGATCAATGGAGATGTGCTGATTTTTATTATTTGGAAATTTAATCCCTTAGGTCTCATATTTATTCACAAACAAACGAAACCTTCCCTCAAAAAACCCAAAAACACAAAACCAAAAACCAAACCATAGAAAGAAAGACGTGCTTTTAAAAATAGCTTTTGTCCAACAGAGCACCTCAGAATTTTACTCATCTGAAACAGATCAGATTTTTTTTTCCTGACAGCACTGTAAAGCAGGATTCCTGAATTTTATGGACAAAGATAAATTAAGAGTTTTTCTCCACTTTTAGTGGTGTGGAGGTTTTTTGTGGGCTCTTTTGGAGTTTGTTTGTTTGGGGCTTTTTTGTTTAATTGTTTTTGGTTTTTTTGGGTTTTGGGTTTGTTTGGGGTTTTTTTTGGTTGTTGTTTTTTGGTTGGTCTTCTTTTTTTTTGGTGAAAAATCCAAATGCAAAAGCCAGTGTCTCCTTCAGCTGTTTGTTTTTAAAGCAGCTTCTAACACTTTTCTTTCTAGGCTAAAAGTGAGGTCCAGGGAAGGTCTTTGAACTGTCACTGCAGAAAGGAAGCATAAGTACAGGGTCTCTCTATGGATCTGAGTGAATCCCCGGGGAAGGTGTGTGGACGCCTAGATTTGCTCAACTAGTTAGAGTATGATGCTTTAAACACCAGAGCTGTGGGTTCAATCCCCCAACAAGTATGTTAAGAGCTGGACTTGGTGATCCTTGTGGATCAGAATACTGTGTGACCTGTGAGATGCTACCTTTATAAGCAAATAGCAGGGGCTAGGGTTCTTCTGAGCCAGCTGCCAACATGTAGCTGAGCTGTGACATAAAAGGGCTCTATGCCCATCTTGAGGAGCATTGCCCTGTGGAGGGCTGGTGTCACCAACCTGTCACAGCAGAAAGGAAAGGATTCAGTTTTTATGCTTGCTGTGACTGACCAGTTGAGCAGCTAGCTTCTTACAGCTGGTGTGATCATTTTTAAATGGCACCTTCAGTGGCATTTAAAATACATTTTGTCTGCTTTTTAAAAATGGATTTGTTTTGATTGCTTTTATGAAAGGTTCATTTATTGTGTTAACGCTTTTGTTGAACACAGAAATGAAGATGTTTCTCCTCTATGTGTGTTAGGATACATGATGACCTGCAAAATATGGCCTGAGGAAATAATTTGCATTAATGTGCAGTTCTGGTACAGATTAATCCTGAGCCCTGTTTCCACAGGCTCCCAGGCAGCAGGCTGTGGAATAAACCATGAGCTGCAGGCCTGCTCCCAGAGCCAGACAGCAAAGCCCTGCCTTTGGCTTTATCACAGCTTCTCAGCAATATCTTAATCCTGTGTACATGGAGAAATAGCTAATTAATATCTCAAAAAGAAAAAATTGTACTATAAATTAAAAATTGTAAAATTTACAGTATTGCTCAGGGATTTTGCCTGTGATTTTCCTGATTTTGCCCATGGTAGCATGGGTTCAGAATCCAGACCCATTTATTTAATAAGTCGAAGTGCCCTTGTATTTACAAAGAATACGGCTTCTCAATAATTTTCAAAGGTTGACAGATGTCAGTCCTCAGTGAGTGCATCCTTATTGTGAATACATCTTTAAATTTTCCTTAAAAGCAGTGCAAGCATCTGTAGAATTTTAGAGTCTTGACTTGCCACAACTTTCAATCACTCAGTTCATATTACAAGTCTGGGAAAATCTAGTTCTTGCACTGTATTCTAACAGCATGGATGTTCCAACTTTGAAAACATACTTTTTCAAAATACTGATTCTTTACAAAATGTAATTTATTTCAAATAAAAGTATAGGTATAGCCTGTCTTCATTCTTTCCTTACCTGTCCAAGGAACTGAAATTTTTAATGTTCAGGTTGCAGGTATGTACCTCACTGAGAAACAAAATGTCCAACGATTTCTACATCTTCCCCTTGGGCTCTATTCCACCAAAAAGACTATGATATTTTTCTGATCAGAATCACAGAATTTTCATGCTATTATTCACTGTAAAAGAGTCTTGTGTGGGATTTCCCTGACTATCTCTGCTAAAAACTAACAGGGCAGTTACCACCCTCAGTGAGGGTTTCGTAAAATTTCTGCTTTAAATGGCATTGTTCAGGTGTGCCAGGCAAGACAGACACTGCCAAAAACTCAGGCGTGCCTCGCTTATATTATTCACACAGGATCCCAGCAGAGAATCCCACAGAACTACACCCAGGTCATTCCACACTGTGTGCCCAGCAGGGGCACAGCTGGGTAAATATTTTCCCACCCTAAGCTGCAGGGAGGATGCATTGCTCTGGGTGCTCATGCATGTGAATGGGGGCAGCAGGGACAGCATCTGTTTGCAGTGAAGGTCTTCCCTTCTCCCTGTAGCACCAGAGAGCTCCACTCTGTAAAACACAGCGTGCACCATCATCTGTTACTGCACAGAAGGGAAAGTGCAGAAGACAAGGACACAAAGCTCTACCAGAGTATTCCTGTTACAACCTTCCCTCACGAAGAAAAGTCTTAGGCAAGCTACACGATTGTCAGGTTTTTGTGCTGCATCCGAGCCAGAGAGGGCATTTAAGGAACAAGAGATCTGCTTAGTTAGCAAAATATGAGCTGCCTAAAGCTTTATGAGCTGCCTAAAGCTTGAATGCACATTTAGCACAGACCTGCATGAGTACTGAAAGTACAACTTTTTAGTCAGAATTCAATCCATGGTCTATATACTGCATAGGAAAATGAGAAAGTCTTCCGTTTCCCTGGAAAAATTTAAGACGTAAAACAGTGGCTCACATGTAAAGATTTCCTCTCTGCAAGGCAGAACAAAATCTTGAAGAAGAGAGGTCCTCAGAGAGCAAGGATTAAGTTAATTTTTTTCTGTTCTAGGATGGTTTTCCTCCTGTTAACCTCTCTGGTTTTCCTCTCTGGAATGCTTCCACTAAACCACTAAACTGGCTAAAATATATCCCTTTTCTCCTGCATGTTTGGGAAGTTACTGTCTTAGATATGCAATATCATAAAGAAATTTAGTTCTTCTTTCCAACCATCCTTCAAAACGGCAAATAATTAGTGTAAATTTATAATAATACTTTGGTATCTCCCTATGCTGCATTTAGTTGTAATAAAAAATTAGCTGATCTGTTGTCTACATCATCAGTATGGAGGACATTGCAAAAGACTTTAGCATCAGAAATGTTTACTGGAATTTTTCTCCAATAGGAAAAAAATTAATCTGCAGAAAACATTATTATTATTAGGAGTGATTCTCCAGGACAGCTGATTCTCAGCAGTGGATCTTTCAATGCCCTGTATTTGGTGCAGCAATTAGACTTCTGCTCCTGCCATGATATGGCAGTAGGTACAAGACAGTTTGTCATAAACACCATAGTTTGTATTTGTGCACTGCATCTGAACACTAGGCAACTTACACCATTTTGTAAAGGAAGCATAAAACTTCCATGGTATTTTTAGTGCCTGCATACTGCTTAGAACCTGTTAAACTCACGGGAAAAAAAGTTATCCACTAACTAATGCATACAGTTAAAAAAACATAATGATCAAATTATTTACTGTACTTTTACTATTCATCTAGTATCACAGGCAATTTATAATGCACTGGAGGTGCAGGTGACTACCTTTGGTAGAATTACATTTTACGTATAAATCAAATGTGATTAAAACATATGTAGTATATTAGGCTGTATGTGGTTTACACCGAAATCATGAGATGATGGGACTAAATTCCTCCTGGGTGTAATCGAGGTTCTCATTTATGTTGAAGGAACTCCGGACTACCTCTTGATTTGATTGGATTTGAAAGGTGGGTCCTTACCCACTATGTCTAAATGGCAAAGTTTCGCCTGACAACAGTTGCTCTGTGTTGTAGAGAAAGCAATTCTTCTGGAGAGGGGCATCTTATGCTGTATTATTTTCGGGCCCTGTTGGCAGACAGATGGAACACTGCTTTTGCTAGTTGTGGGCTTTTAAGGTTTTTGTTTGTTTTGGCTTTGGTTTTTTGTTTGTGGGTTTTTGTTTTGGTTTTGTTTGTTTGGGTTTTTTGGTTTTTTTTTGGCAAGGAAACATAAATTAAAAAATTACCGTTGCAATAAAATCCTGCCTAGCTCTTAGCTTGCAATAAAAGTAAGCATCTAATCCAGTAAAATTGCAAGACGTCATTCTTTAGAGACTATAACTGAAATTGGTAGTTTGGAGAAAATATTGTCAGACTTCAGAGTGCCGTTTTCTTCTCTGCTAGTTTTCAGTGGCTTTCAGCCAGTCTTTCTCACTCACACCTCAGCAGGATGACTACAGTTGCCATTAGACACCTCTCTGGCTTGCAATCTCCGTTATTGACTGTACTGCTCTGAACCAAAATTGTCTAAGTTTTAACCTGATTCTTGATGAAGGGAATAGAACAAGAACACATTTTTGCCTTATTGTCTGTATGAGGGTCACAACTCCAGAACTTGCTTCTGAGCACTTGTGAGCAAGAGATTTGCTGCTGATTTACAGGGAAAGCAACACAAGTTATAAACTTCATTGGTTTCTGGGATGTCAAATATCATAAAGGTGATTGAAAGAGATAGACCATTGAGTGCATTCTCTAATATCTTTCTGGGCTATGAAGGGGAGAGTGTAATTGTCACTGAAAATTGATAGCTAACTGCTTTTAACCTGATTTTCTGTGAAAGGGTAAGAGAGTGTAGCACCGCTCAGTATTTAACATGATTGTTTAAAAAAAATTGATGGCATTTATAATAAGCAAAGGAACAGAAAATTTCTTTGTTC